ATTGTCTATAATTGTTTCAGATTCGCGGATAAATATTAAAACATATTTTGAAACATTTGTGTCAGACTGTGACATGATTGGGTATGATTGTGTCGTAATTGTGCGTGATTGTTTCAGATTTTGTGTGATCGTTTCGGATTGAATGTGATTGTTTTCGATTTTGTGTTATTGAATCCGGTTGTGTCATGACTGTTTCAGAATGTTTTCCCCTTTGCACACATTTTGTGTCTGGTGCCAGTTCCACGCCCCCCGGTTTCATTACCATGCCGCTGATAGTGAAAAATCGCGCGTTAAAGATGACTATTTGAACAATCGAACTTAGCCTGTAAACATGTAACGCACCTTCTTTCACTGCAAATACCAAAGTCAGATGTCTCACCTCAAAAAAGTGAGATTTTCTCTCCTTGCTCCATTTAGTAAACCTCGTTTTTATTGAGTGAGGTTCTGAAATCTTACTCAAATTCAAAGAGATTACCTTTAGAAATCCTCACTTCAAAAAATAGAGAGTTCCTAATCATCACTCGAAGAGAGGAACATTCCTTAATTTATAGCTCTACTCGAGCGAGAAAATCAAACCTCGCTCAAAGGAACGCGAGGATATTTACAGCAAATCCTCGCTCTCCGCCGGAGGGCGAGAATTGGCGCTCTAGGATTTCGGACAAATTGGAGCAAAAAAAAAAATGCATGATTTCGTACAAATGAATGCACAAAAATGTTTAAATGACCCTAGAAATGTGTGCCAAAAATTTGATTCTTTAAATTCGCACAGTTCATTTAGCGTGTGGAAATTCACCAAAATGGTTAAAAGTTATTCATCACAATATCCTACCAAATTTTCAACAGTGTCAAAGAAACGAGATACCCATGGAATTCTCCAGAGCTATAGTACCTCCCTCATTGAAGTTGAAGTCATTCGCCGTTACGAAACAGCAAAGTGCGGCCTCTGCAAGCTCTGAGCGCGCCTGGTAGGTAGGCAACATTCTGCCTGCAGCGCATGCGCGTACTGCGGGGTGGCCTACCCTGGATCTCGCAGGCGCCGTGCACATGTAATTTGCGGAATGAATCTGAGAAAAACGGACGTACTTTCTGGACGAACCACGAGCCCTGTGTTTACCGCGTCTTTCTTTGCACGCGCCGGTTGGCTATAGTGCCATACGGGCAGAGGGTATCGAATATGTTTCGTCATTTTGGGTACGAACTGTTCGTAGGGGTATAAAATCAAACTTAACGTTAAGTCAGGATGTAATAGTTTCAATCTATCAGAATGTTGGAGTGTTTGCTTTAAAAATTCTAG